GTGGGAGAGAGATAGAGAGATAGAGAGATAGAGAGATAGAGAGAGATTTGACGGAAGCACATATAAAGTCCAATAATTAGAGGAATGGGGTGGCCAACATGCAGTACCCTCTGGTAAACTAACATAACTATGGAAAATCACAATTTTCAATGGGTAGATCCACTATAAATGGGCCATTTTCAATAGCTATGATAAATTACCAGAGATTTCATCAAGGCATCAGGGTGGTCAAACATCGTTTGATCATGTTTGATCCATCTCACCTAAAATCATGTGCTGAGGTTCGAAAGTTATATGTATATATATATATATGTCTATAATATATCTATATCATATGAAAGTGATAGATTGCCAATATCATTTTAATCATATGTATAGATTCCAAGTTTCCAAGATAAAAAGTTCATCCTAAAATGATCGATTTCCCCCCAGAGCCACTGGAGATCCCGGCCGAGCCGCTCTCCCCAGGGCCACTATGATTTGAAGCCGGAGGGAGCTGGGCTCCAATGCCACCCAGCAGGACACGGTTTCCGTGGGGAGTCCTCTTCAGTACCCTCTGGTTATGTCAAAATAGCTATTGAAAATTGCCCATTTATAGTGGATTTTCCCATTAAAAATGGTGATTTGCCATAGCTATGTTAGTTTACCAGAGGGTATCTCAATTGTAAGATAACATAGATTAGCCATGATTAGCCATCAAAATGATTGATTTTGTGTAACATCAGTGCCCATCGCATTCGTAATTGGTGATCTTAAACTTCCCAAATATCCTACTGGAACGTTTACATTTAAACTAAACACCCTTATTTTTCGTGGTACAACTGTGGTTTCCCTTAGGAACCCACTGATTGGTTGGTTAACAAAAGGTGAACCCCGACATTCATATGCCAGTCACCGACCCCTCTATTCGCCCTAAAAGGACAACATAGGACAATATTGGAATAGTGTACCTGGTAGTATCATATTCTTGTAGTTTGCTTGTGTTGTGCACTGTATCCCCATATGTATACGTATACATATACATATAATTTCATACAATTATATATACATATACGTGTATATACATATTATATTTACATATGCATATATACTTTCCAATACTCTCTGGTAATCAAACATGGCAGTTGAAAACCCACTATTCATGGATGTTTTTTTCATTATATACATATATATATGTAAAACTTAAACCTCCATTTTGTGGGCCATGTTTGATTACGGAAGGGTATATGCATCAATTATCCATCAATCATACATTATATACTTATCCATTAATTATCTATTAATATTTCAACAAAGCCCAAGATATATAAATATAAATATAAATATATATATATATTGATATATATATATATATCCCCATTATATCCGCATATGTGTCATTGTTGCACCTATGAACTGCCCCGCTGCGGCCCGAAGAAGCGGTCTGAGGTGACGCTTTCTATTCCTTGGACTCGCCCACACCAGGGTCTGTCCGGCAGCAGGGGCAGGGGGGAAGGGTCTGATCTTAACGGTGTTTAACTGGGGTTGAACCATCCAAAGCGGGGAAAACCGGTGGATATAATGGGTTCGGTATATAACCAAGAATGGGATTATGATTATTACCAATAATGGAATATTTATTGAATATGAACTTTGAGAATTAATCGACACTGGGATAATTGATGGATATACCTTTCGGAAATCAAGCATTGCTATTTGGGAAATCCCCGCGCATGCATATTTTTAGTTTTAATGGGACAACCATGGAACTACCCTCTGGTAAACTAACATAGCTAATTATGGAAAATCACAATTTTTAATGGGTAAATCAACGATAAATGGCCATTTCCAATAGCTACGTTAAATTACCAGAGGGTAAATAGTGGATGTTCAACTGCCAATGTTTCTTTGCCAGTGGGTCCCAGGTTGGAGATGTGGAGAGGTCTAAAAAATGGTGGACTGTTCAGTTTGTTTTTTTTTCCTGGGTGAAACCCTCATTCAAAAACCATACCTGGATCATCCTGGATCTTTAAGCGCCTAAGCCTGAGCAAAAGTCCAAAAACTAGTCTTGACTAGGCCAAAATGGGTTCCCAGCACCCGTCTTCCAGATATGTTGACGGCTGGTTTTTCACACTGGGTAAAAGCTGGTGAATGATGGGTTTCCGGCTTAATTTATAGATAAAATGCCTATAGTCTACACATGGACAAAACATGATAAAGATTAAAATCATGTCCGCTGAAGCTTCCATTTGTTTCTTATTTGTGGGGAACTCTAAGGACATGCTTTGACCATGTATCATGTGCTCTGGAATCCCAGATTTTTTTTAAAGATTTACAGGACCCCCCCTACTTAGAGGATCATCCCACTTAGTGGGTCATATAATCATCATATAACCCTGGTTTGCAAGTCCTTTCTATAGGTGGGTTATCCAGGCTCCCCTCAGGTAACGAGTTACTGCACTAAATGGGCTGGTCCTGGCCGAGGATTCCCAGCTGGTGCATCAAAGCCCTGCGCCAAAAAAGGGCGGCACCGATTGGGGTTCCCACTGGCCCAAACTGTGACCAAAAAAGGCGGGTTTAAGTCACTCGTTCAATTTTTTTTCATATATTAAATCATGCATTTTGTTGGCGGGCATCCCCTGACCAAGTTATACCCAAGTCCTCCTTGCACTTGGACACCTCGAAGTTTGTGTCCGCACAGCGAGGTTGCTTCGCCTATCCGGCGTAACTTGTGGAACTAGCTGTGCGACCCCTTCTCGCCATTCTACCATCAACACCGTCACGAACATGATCAAGGATGCCATCAAGATGTCATTCGAAGATTGGGACATATTGCAGCACATTAGGGCATATTGGAAGATATTGGAGCATATTGGAACATGGATGGTCATATTTCCGTGACGATTTGATTGCAAAGATCCGAGGGGAAGCCCGCCTGCCTCAAGCGACATGACAGGAAGCAAAACTTCCCCGGATGCACGCAAGCTTCGCGGCGAGGGGGCACCTTCAAGACCCATTTGTCGATCCATTCCATGGGAAAAGTTGCACGACACTTCGGTATTTTGGTGCAAAAGCCATGATGTCCTGTAAATTGTCCCTTAAGCCAAGCCTTGGAATTTGCCTTTGAATCGGCTACTGAAGGTGGCCAAATAGTATCATTCTGGTCTATCTATCTATACTGGTGGATCTGGTGGGGTTCCACTTGGGCATTCTGCGAAGCATGAGTTCTGAATCTGCCAGCCGTCACACCCCTTCTTCAAATGTTTGGGTGTGACTACAAACAATAAAGACATCACAACTACCCTAAAAATTCCCATGGTCTATGATCATCTTCCCCACATTTTCCACCGTAAAAGCTGCCATTTTAGCCGCATCCTCCGTGAGACAAAGCCTCAGGTCACCCCTACACGACTGCGTGTGAGCAGTCCAGTGTCGAGCTCACCGTGTTGATCCATTGATCCGGCAGGTCATCAATCTCCGAGCGCGGTTGAAATCGCAGCCATTCGACTTGTACGTCATTGGAGAGGGGTTTAATGGGGTTTATGGTTTTGGGTTTGGTATGTTTGGTGCTGATTGACAGTTCTATCACGTTATATCACGTTCATGAAATACTTTCCATCTTTTGGGATGCCGGTGTAAGGTCAACAATTGAAAGTGGTCACGATTCACGAACCCCCTGCAAGTACAAGGCCACATGTGTAGCCAGGCTGCTCCTCTCCGGCCGAGCAGATCCAAGGCTGGAAGTTCTGTCCACGGTCAACATCCAGATGTAAAACCACGATTATACCATGATTATACCCCATGACTCCCAGCTATTTTGGGAGCTTTGACCCATACTTGAAAACTCTTGAAATATCGAACAGTCAAGTTGGAACCCGTCTTGGGAGGAGTTTTTTCCTGCAGCGGTTGGTAACTGTCCCACTTTGAAACAATGTCATATCACCAGTGGCTGTTGAGTATGTCATACGATTACGATACGTCTGATGGTGTTCCAATCGATCATCATCATTTTTCTCATCAAATTGCCATAAACATCCATAAACGGGGTGTATACCCCCAATTTCAGACCCATCCAATTTCCCGAAGCACGGCAAAATCCCGAACTGCTGGCTGGTGAACTCCCATCAAACGCCCATGAAAATCCCAACAAGACACGTTTGACACATTGAATCCCATCAAAAATCCCATCAAACATCAAAAACGCCATGAAAATCCCATGAAAATCCCATCAAAAATCACATCCAAAGTCACCATGGATTGATCTGATCCCATGCCACGTGGCTCAGCCTCTCCTGCATTCATATTTTAAACATCTCCCAGAAACCGTGGTTTAATTATGTTTAATTTATATAGTATACACGGGTTGCAAACATATCAGGGACCACTTAGGGGGTGTTTAATACTAAGGGGATGAGAATGGGATGAGATTATATTGGTCATAGCCCCATTGTTCCCATCAGTGAACCCTCTATCTTCACTATAAGCAGCTAAAGTACCGCTCTTGCCAAAAACCAAGAGGTCACGGCTTTAAAGTCGCAAGTTTAGTTGCCTTATAAGAATCTACATTTGCAAGGCTGCGCATGTAATACCTCATAATAAGAACCCATATTTCGCTGGTTGAAATCCCCTAGTTACACCTGGCTTGCCTCAGAAATATGTTAAACCATGGTGAAATTATGCGAAATCATGATTAATATGCTGTATATACTGTAAATCGATATAAACTACCATGATTGGTTGCTTCAATCCCATAAACCACCAGTAATATATATATATATATGGACTATATGTACTGTACATATCTGTATATATACATATATACAACACAACTCTACTATATGACATTATTTCACTATATTATATTATTACTGGTCGGGGGTTTCAAATGTTATTGTACTTCAACCCTACGAAAGGGATGGTTGGCTGAGATGACGAGCATATTCTTGGGATGGGTTAAAGCCAGCAACCAGTATAAATTATTAGTATATTGGAAGATTATATTCCATTGAATTTTGTGATGTTTTGGGGTTCTATACTAAATCATATCATATCTACCCTCCGGGAATCAAAACATGAGGTGCTGGAAAATCCCTTATCTGTGATTTTCCCAGCTAGAAACCTCCCTGTATGGCGGATTTCCCGGCTTGCCATGTTTGATTACAGGAGGGTAGGAAATTACTATTACCCTCTGGTAAAATGTCACATAGCTATGGAAAATCACCATGTTTAATGGGAAAACTCACTATAAATGGCAATTTTCAATAGCTATGTTAAATTACCAGAGGGTACTGTATTTGCATACTGGAAATTATTCCTAATATTCAGAGATGGATAAATAAATAATCTGGGAAATCATGGGAATTCAATAAACGCATCATGGATATTCATGGATACTATATGATATTATTGGGCTTTGGTGGGATTTATAGTAGGGCAAGCATTTTTAACGCATAGTATTGCCTACATCTTATGTTTGAGGTGGCGGCGCCTAAAAGGTGCCGCGCGGGGTTGGTTGGGGGTGGGTGGGTTGCATTGGGGTAATAACGTCCTTGATTCTACGTCACAAGAACTTCTCTAGATATATAGAGTTCATGCTACGGTATGATATTTTCTTGGACTTCTTATACAACTACCAGCTACGTTATATAACGTGATGCTACGTCATGATGTGTTCTTGTTGTGCTTCTTGAAGGTGCCAACAATCACTTTGGAAAGGTCTTTCTGACCTATGCCACATATATAGCCAAAGAAAAGTTTGAAGCGCACAAAGACGGGAACAAGTTGTGCGAAGTATTGGAAGGGTTGTCGAACATATTTTCCTGAGCGAACCCTTGCAGAGGTTTTGTATGCTTTTCTACCATCGATTTCATCTGAAATTCTTCAAAACCCTCATTGTTTGATGATTCTCATCTCAAAATCGCCATCAATCCGAAATATGCAGAAACGCACGGCACCTTACAGAGGCGCCGGCACCATGTTTTAGCAATCCATTTATTCATGGTCTCAAAGAATCAAAGAAATATGGACTTTCCATTGCCATGTTTGTTTCCTGGAGAGTCGCCATCAAGGAAAAGGAATCGTCCAACTTTTTAGCGGGTACATCTTTCCCAGTCAGTGCTTGGATTAAAACATTGCAAGACTTCTCACGAACGGTCTTCTCACATCTTTCCTGTGAAGAAAATACGCTGAACTCATACCCTCCACAAAACTAACATAGCTATGCATGGTTCTTTTCAATAGCTACACTAGTTTACCAGAGGGTACCTCTGGGAGGATTGGAGATCCAAAACCAACCTCAATCTCTGCAGAGGTCCCAGCAGCAGAAAGGCGGCAGTGAGGGTCTCAGCATGTCTCAGCACTGAAAAAATGGATTGATGGAATACTTGATGCAGGTAATACATGATCTATCATGATCTTGTTCTTTTTCCTGGTGATTTTTTTGGAAGTCTGGCACTTTAAAGGACAACCTGGGGATAAGATGCTGCGTCTGGCGCCTGTCCTCGTTGAGGCTCGGACCCCCAACCGCAGCTGGGCATGGTGAATGGCCATCCCTGGCTGTGTTGGGCTGCCAGTTTTGGAGGGGATCCCACCCTGGTCTTCCCTGCGTTTCCCCTAGGACCTAGGATGGAGGGGCTGTTTATTAGGATATCATCGTCAGGATCGTCAGGTGCAGTGTATACATGACCAGCATATGAAAGCATGGCATTATCTCGTCATTGTTAGCCTCCTGTTCCTCCTCCCCGTCCTCCTTGTGGGCGTTCTACTCGTCCTGATTTTCGCTTTCGTTCCTTTCCCCTTCGCCTCAAGTTGAACTTGATGAATTTTGAACATCTTCGAGCCCTGAAACATTCTGAGACCATGAAATTTCATGAAATTTCATGAGATTTCATGAAATTTCATGAAATTTCAGTTGTGAAATCATTGGAAATCACACAGCCTGAAATGAAGGTTGATCGGTTGATCCGAGAGGATCCAGAGCGACCCAGAGCCTCAGATTGCCGATCTAAACCCTGTCAGAAGCCCAGTGTCCCAAGATCCACCAAGCTTCCTAACACAGGAGGTCCTTTCAGGGGGACTACAGGAAATTCAGCCAATTTCAAACTAGGGGTTTAATCAACAAAGATTGGTTTTAGGGTACCTTTAAGATTTCCTCCTGCAATTTGCACAGATGAGAATCACTTTTTGGTCACTGAATAGTGGTGGACTGCCGCAGAACGGGTGATGTTGGCAGATGCATTATCAAGAACCTTCTTGCGTTCGTATGATCTCGTCCAATTCTAGAGGTTACCAAAAACCATCCCGAAACTTCACTTGAACTCTTGAACTGATGCTTGAAATGGTGATTTGTCCTCCCCATTTTGGTGATGTTTGCAGCTTTGCTGGCAGGTCGTCAGATTCTGACGGCTGGCAGTTTTGTGAGGATCGCAGCTCAAAGAAGCTGTTTGTTTCCTGCACATAGCCTGAAAACAACTGTGGAAGTCCAGTTCGGGATCGAACGGCTGACCCCATTGGTGGATCAGGTATGATGACGATATTTCTGTTGATCATAGAACAGAATGTTAGTAAGGCGATATTGGAAATCGCCCATATTTTGATGGTTTCTACCATCAATTTATGGAAAAGCATGGGAAGGTGTACTATTGCTGTTATACGAACATTAGCGGGTTTCCACCCTTACCATTGCTACTTCTGTGGAGAAGAAAATAGGCCTGTGCCTGGGTTAAGCTGACGTCTGGAGTCTGTGAGCTGACGAATAGTTAGTAACAATACTAATGAACATAAATTGATATTGACAATAATACAATATATATATATATATCAATTTATAACATATAGTAATAAATAATATGATATATAATAGTAATAAGAAGTAGTAGTAGTAGCAGCAGCAGCAGCAGTAGTAGCTGTCGTAGTGGTGGTGCTGGTGGTGGTGGTGGTGCTGGTGGGTTTGGTCTGTGCTTCCGTGGCATGTCCGTTGCCCTGGAGATGGCCCATTGGAGCGACACTCGTGGATCATTCAGAACTCCCAGCTTTATCCATTTTTGAGAAGAACAGCCAACTGCCAACTGTTAACCATTATATACCATTATATATAATATAATAATATATATATATGCATATATATATATGTATGTATACGTATAAATATGTCAGGGAGGTCCCAAAGAATAAAGTTGCAGAACAGTAGCTACAACTGCACGGATCATGGCAGCCGAACAGCTTCCTGCGTCCATTCCGAAGGCGATGACCTGGACGGATACCATGAGACACCCCTGGTTGGATGATGCGATGAAGGGAGAGACCCTCCCGATCCAATTTGTTGTTTGCTTTGGGACCGCGGTGAATATTGTACAAACATGTACAAACATCTACAAACGTCAAGGCCCCCTAATGAATCGGTCTGGATGTACATGAACCATCATGAACCATCATGAACCCATATTCACCGCCCCTTGACCCTAGAAAAATAGAGACCTGCCAATGACCAGCCTACATAATTCACCGTATTTCCAGGCATGGTCTCCCAGACTCTGGTGCGACAGAGGACGGAGACGGCAATGGGAGACACTCCTGCTGCGCAACGCGGCTGGAGGTTTTGGTGTGTTTATCCGTTGATGTTTGTTTAATAATATCATAACATCAATAAATTATATCCCAAATGATCAGCCAATGCAACCCAGCCTTTGGCTCCAGAAACATAGCTGCCACCATGCTTGAAAGGCTTAGAAATCCCATAGAAAGTGATTTACAAACTCATACAAGTTATGTTATGACGTCATTGAGATGAATTTTTCTTGAGGTGATGTTTCCATATCTTGATCACATCTCTATTGAATTCATGAACTTTTCAAGGCCGCAGGGTCCAGGTGTGAGCCATGCTTAATCCTCGGCTAAGCCTTCGAGGGTCCAAAGAGGCCTGGTTGAAGCGAGGCGCGGGAATGCTGAAGCGACCCAAACTTTTCCTTGTTTTGTTTTTTGGTGTAAGTTTATCAAACATGGCTAGCTGGAAAATCCTCTATACATAGAGGTCTTCATGGGGAAATCATCTATAAATGGATATTTTCAACCGTTGAAGTCAAGAGACAAGATCGAAAAGTGGTAAATGATTCGAACAAGGAATCTAGCCAATGATCATGGAATTTACATGAATTATGTTATATATATATAAATTATACAAGAGTAATGGAGCTTTCAGACCAAAGAAATAGAACCAAGAATAGCGGAACCATCGCTTTAGCCACCATGGGGCCACATAGCGACCAAGGTAACCCAGGTAATCCTACCATTGGATGGTATAGGACTTCCCACATCCTGTATTTGGGGACCATCTTCCATGGGAGTGTTGAATACTAGCGTGAGGGGATTTCCTTGGATTTACCAACAGATTTGCACGTGCGCAGGTTCATGAAGGGATGGGAAACTTTGCCCTCTGTGGTGCCAAACCTGGTGGGTGGATGGGTACCAGGTAGGAGGGTGGCACCTTAATGCCATCCGGTTGTCCTTAGTCATTCCAGTCACAAGATCCATCTCCTGCATGCACATGAAGTCATGGAGTATTGATGCCAGTTCAGCTTCAAATGAGCCTTTCATATCCTTTCATATAGTGGTAAATCCAACATCAGCTAGCATTTGTAGATGATAAACATGTCCACCCACCCATGGGTAAGTCTTTGGGGATCTGTTTAACAGATTGGGTTTCACCCCATGACTGGTTGGTGGTTTGGAACATTTGGATGATTTTTCCATTCAGTTGGGAATAATCATCCCAACTGACGAACTCATATTTTTCAGAGGGGTAGGTCAACCACCAACCAGTAACTATAGGTTATTGGACTTATGTTATCCCATGATAATCCCATTATTCACCAATGTTAACCCATTGTTAAGCCATGTTTTCCATCCAGGATTGGGTTTCACTCCACCATTCTATACCATCTGGTTATGACTAACAGTTCGCCATGGTATAGATGGCCCATAGAAATAGAGGATTTATGATGATTTACCTATCAAAAATGGTGATTTATAGATGATTTACCTCCATATAGCCATGGTATAGATGGCTCATTTATAGATGATTTTCCATGGCTATGTTAAATAACCAGATGGTAATATCCATTTATAGATGATTTTCCCATTAAAACCCCAGGTGAGAAGGGAAAATGCGGCGAGCAGCGGCGCCCAAGGGACGAGAGAAGGTGGTTTTTTCGAAGGGACGGACTTCGCAAAAACGTTGGATGAGTCGTTTGATGGTTTTTGATGGTTTTGGGGTGCCAGATCCACTTTTTAAGTTCATGGTTTAATAGGTTTTATATAATATGTTTTAATAGGTTTTAATATGTTTTAATATGTTTTAATATGTCTTAATTTTAATATGTTTTAATATGTTTTAATATGTTTTAATATGTTTTAATGGTAAATAACCTTTAAACTGAATTAAACGGATGATGTTCCATTGCCAAGTTGATGAAATTGCCACTGAATCACCTATAAACTGAATTAAACTGATGATTTGGCTCAAGCTGTTTTTGCAAGTTTTTCCTCAACCCACTGAGGGGCGCTTTTTAGCTCAGGGGTGTCGGCATTGCCATGGCGCTCAAATCCGGTGCATTCTCTTGTCTCATCCTTGCATTGAGGGCTGGAACTGCAGACATGGCAAATCAGACCACGTGTTGTGTGGACACCAACCGCACAGACATTGCGGATGCCTCGCAAACCATACGCTGGGACGCCGTAGTCATTCCTGTTGTCCTTGAGACAATCATGACCTTCATCATGCCAGTTGCTCGCCAATTTTGGTGACGAAGAAGGTGCGTTAGAGTCAGAGCGCTTGCTTTGCCCTCAGGGCGACTTGCAAAAACAGTGATTAGTGATCTCAACACATCGTTTATGACTGAAAAAGGTCTGTATGTACAGTATATAGGTAGGCATGGTTTCAATAGAGCAGTCATGCCAGTGAGCTTCCACAAGCCTGGCATTCAGTGCATTCATGCCTGATACAAAGGCAAGAAAAATGCCACGTTGATTACCCTCTGGTAATTTAACATAACTATGGAAAATCACAATTTTCAATGGGTAAATCCACTATAAATGGTCATTTTCAATAGCTATGTTTGTTTACCAGAGGGTAAACTGATTGCCGGTATATGCAGGCTACATGTGCCCCACGAATCTTTTGGTGATCCTTTTATGGATTGTTTTTGGGCCCTGGTTCTGTAGACTTGGACCCGTCTCCAAGCCCACCAAACGATCGGGGACCAAGCTGAAAATCACAGGAGAATATGATAATTGATGTATATATAATCAACATGATCCCAAGTCCTTCAAAATCAGCCCGCATCATCGAAAAACAGTTCAACAGTTCAACCATATTCAATCAGACCAGCCATGGATAACCATAGATAACCATGGATAACCATGGTAGATTTGAACATCCACCATTTATGCTCGCCACCGAGGCAATGTACCCAGGTGACGATCTCACAATCTTTGGATGGTGGGGTGGAGGAGAGCAAATGGCTGGTCATATTTAGCTTGTATATGTATGTATTGTATGTATGTACGTGTATGCATATATATATAGTTATAAGTTATAATTATATATGTAATTATATATGTAATTATATGTGTGTGTATGTGTCTGTGTGAGTATTTAACCAACCCCAAAAAGGGTGACAGGGCTGTACAGCAAAAATATGGGGATTTCGATCAACAAAATGTACGAAGCATTTGGTGTTCAGGAGCATAAATGGCGCTGCTAGAAACAGGAATAAGGAGTTGAAGTGCCAAACATGGGTTTTGAAGCACCGAACATTGGGGTTAAAGAAACAAACATGGGAATACCTGAAAACAAAAATGGGCATGCGGACCGGCAGGAAATAGTGGTTTGAACCAACGGAGGCAGGGAGAGAGTCATCAACAAAGACTGGCTTTTAATCAACAAGAATATGGATGGGGATGCTGATCAACTGGGGTGGCAAGATGGGCGTTTGGTACAGGTCCTGGTCGCTTCACTTTCTGCAATGTCTCGGCAAAGAGAGGCTCCCACACCTTGTAGATCAATATAGATCAATCCCATTCCCCCAATACTGTTATCAATTGCCATTTCAGGTACCTGAATTGGAGGTACATAAGGCTACTATGTAAGGGGAAGGGATTATTTCCTTGTTGAAATCGTGGATTCTCAATTGCCATGGTTCACGCAGAGGGTACCTGCATGGAAGCCGCTTCAGCAGCAAGGAGCCGGAGCCGGCAGGGGCGGTTTTCCCAGACACCATTGAAGGTCTCCAGGGAATTCTGTTTCAGCATCAAAAAGGATTGTTCACCATCAGATCACAGCAGAAGCTAATCTCATGCCATGTGCAGATGTATATCATGCCTTGGCAAAGTCATGCCATCTTCGTCGAATGGTTCAACCGGTGGCATCAAGCTAATCCCGGGTATGGACGCTCGGGCCCTTGGAGGTTTGAACGCCATCGATCGCAACCTGCTCTTATTCAGTGCCCTGGGCGCAAGGAATCGGTTGCACCAGGGTGATACCCGGGTGGAACACCTCTTGGGCAACGGAGCGAGGGTCTAAACGCGTTCCAGTTGGCAGTTGGTCCCCACTGGCTTTTGACATTGCCTTGACACGCCCCAAGTTTGGCATCAAACAGGTGATGAGTTTGGAGGAAACTCAAGGCATCCCAAGGAGCACGACGCAGTAAGCAAGAAACTCATTGTGATATATTCAGTGGCCGGTGAAATCATACGGTTTTTTTTAAAGGCATCGTCCGACTTCAGGGATCATTCCACTGAGCTTGAACAACTTCAAGGGAAAATCCACAGGAAGCCCTGAATTTCACCACCAAAGCGAAGGAATCCTGACGCTTGGAGCCACCTTCCATCCCTTCCAGGTGCTTCCCAAAATCTTGCGGCGGTGCGCTGGCTCCTGGTGCTGGGGGCCAACCGCCACGTCACAGCAACTGGGGATTGATTCGGATCGATTTCAACAAATTTTAATTCCCAAAAGAATCCAGCAATATCCAGCAATCTCATGAAAAGTGAATCATCACAATCAATGTAGTTAGATTTATGAGTCGAACATATTGATTTGTGAGGTAAAGGTCCAAAATAGATCAAAACAGATTTGGGACTCACTTTTCGATCTGTCTAGGGACCTCAAGGTTCTTCTCCCCAGGGATGCCTTAGGATCAGAATGGCACCAGCTGCCTCCATGCTGCCTGCCGAAGCGGCTCCTCAAGCATTGTGGAGGTTCTGGTGCTCTTGGACACTGAGAGAGGCACCCGGTGCTTGAGGGTACTAGAGCTATTCATTCCATAGTGTTGTTGATTGGTCATGAAATGGGATTTACAATATATACCCATCATATCCCATCATTTGTAAATAAGGGTTCAACCATCAGAAAGAGGGGGATATCTGTTTTTTACGGGATACTAATTAATTATGTATGTCCCATACCTCCCCGTAAAGTATAGCCTGTTGTCATTGTATCATATTACTGCAACTCTATGGCTCAAGAAAAATAAGCGTGTGCTTTGTGGCTGAGTTTGGTTGCATAACCTTGACAAATAAGTTATCAGCCGTATCGCCGCTGTACCTTCCTTTCTAACTAATATGTCCGCCCCCTCAGAGAAACCATCACCTGAGGGCACGAATCCATCCGGAGTTCCCAAAGCCATGGCCACAGAAGATGCGGACACGATCAATGCTGCAAGTGACGTACCAGTAGCTGAAGATCTTCCGTCTCCCTCCATCTCCCTCCAAACGCTCCCGTAGTGACAAGCGTGAAGCCAGTGCCCTGGTGCCACGCAAACATGCCCCATTCTGACACTACAGTACTTGATTTTCACACAGCGGGTATGATTTTCACGCATCCCGGGAGGGCATGGAAGCGAGCTCAAATCACATGTGTATGAGCCGAAGTGAGATGCACCATCAGGAATCAAGCCAAGTGCACAACACATTGAATCTCAACCAGGTCCAGAACAATCAGATGCATGTGAATACTTATGGCCCTGCTATCACCCATTTGGTCGAGCAGGTCGCTGAAGCACGACATCGTGAGGCACTCGCCAACACAGAACACGTGGTTCAGACGATGGTGTCTGAGATGAGCCGCAGTTTAATGCCGAGGAAGAAGCAGCCAGCGCCTGGATGCATCAAATGATGAAGCTGGCTGAGAGCCCTGAGGGTCACAAAAGGGTTTTTGGTGGGAATGCCAGACAATCCAATGCAACCAAAGACCAACAGATCCAAGCATTGAAAGCCCACTATGAAAGACAGGATGAAAGTCGAAGAATGCAATTTTCCCAATTGGAACCCATCACCCAGCAGCAAAGCGAACAGATCAAGGCACAACAGCTCCAAACTGAGCCATGAACATGAGAATGAGCAAGCTCCTGAATACATTAAATCCAGCCCCCGCTCCGGTTGTCCAAACTGCAACTGCCGTGGTGCCGCCGGCTAGTGAGGTGGAGATTTCCGCTCCGTTGAGCTCCTTCGCATCAGCTAGCGCACCGAAACCCAATGTACCAAATGCTGATATGTGGTAAATGATTGGAATGGATGGGGGGCCATCGCCATTTGAGGCTGTAAACCCCAACTCAGATATAACGGGAACAAAATCTCCAACATATTCTTCTACCAGCCTTGTTGAATCAGAAAGGGGTAACGGTGATGACCCACCAGGTGATGATGATCCTAATGACAACGGGTCGAAAGGTGGTGACAAGGAAGAGCGCAAGAAAAAGGACACAGGTGGTAAAAGGCCCGTCCAAGGGTGCCGACGACCACCGGGAGGTGGGCCCGGGGATGGAAAGCGGAAATGAAGAAGCTGCAAGGGACGTGGGCCGGGAGGCCTATCGCCCTAGCTTTCGATACAGGGATGCTTATCCAGATGGGCGTGAAGCTCTTCGCCACGGACGAAGCCATCCTTTCGCCTGATTGGGTTTCCAACCTTGCCCTGATCAACGCGTACGACATGAGATCTGGTGAGTTTTTCTTCATCAGCAGAGCGTATGCGACCCATCGCAAGGTGTACCAACAGGTGCTCAAAGAGGCAAAGGAGTTCTTCGATCCGAACCTGGACCTGCTGAGCAAGATGGCCCTGTATACTACCAGGACGCCGAGCGCCTCTTCCACGGCAGATGCGCCATCAAGCAGAGGATCGTTTTTGGCAAGTTGTTCCCCTTCTCAGGCAAAGAAGATCTGGTTGTCGAAAGGAGCAGAGCTACGTACCCGGGAGGGTGAGCCTGCGGCTGGAGATCAAGTTGTCGAGGGCTACACCATCCAAAAGGTTGTTGCGATGACCAGAACTGATGCCTGCGGGTTTCTTCGCCGAGGGCGACATGGGAAAGGAGGCGGCAATATTGGGGAAAAGGATACGGTCGCTATGGATTTGACTTGAGAAGATGAAGGACATCTCAGTGGCCCAGATCCAAGAGTTCCCAAAGTGTCGATGCCCCCATCCAATCGGTCGTTATCTGATGGTCGGCGGTCACCTGAAGTGGCCACAATGCTTCAGACAAATTGAGCTGGTGACCGACGCCAATGTTGCGACCGAAGTAGCCCGCCGGGAGGCGACGGCCCGAACAAAAGGAGTGCCCTTCTCGATGGACAAGGTCATCTTCCACCATCCGAGGAGAGCACAGATGTCTCAAAAGGATTCAATAGGCACAAGAGAGGCTTTGGGAATCTGGTTGATCGGCTGCAACGTGATCCTTTCTTCCAGTTTAATACCGCAAACCAAGACTCGGCACCGGAGGCATTGAACTTATAAGGCTTGCCGGCTGCATTAGCCCCGTCATCAACCGGACGAAGTCCCAGATCTTGGGGGAAAAGCTCGAGATGGCCACCAAGTTGGTTTTTGTTCCGTCTGCCACTCGCGAAAAAGACGAGCCTCTCGATCTGCACTCGAAAGTCTTCGTGAGCCACTGTGGTGTTTTCTTGGACATCGGGCAGTTTGCGGTCTACGTCGCCAAGTTCATCAAGCCGAAGGGACGACCGCTTCCCCTGACCTATATACGGATGGAATGATCAAGACTTCGTTCCCGATGCAGACACCACCAATGAAGCTCCAGTGGACCATCTTTGCTTCAAAGCAGGCGCAGCATGAGAGCGAGACTGTTGGAGAGGACCGGGAGGTTCGCCTACCTCATGCTTCGGCATCGGTATGCCCGTCCACACCATGAACAGTTCGAGCCCAATTTGGGGAAGCCTGCCAGAGGTGGTCCATACGGCAAAGATCAAGGGGGCAAAGGCCAGCAGAAGAGGCCAGCAGAAGGGCACAGGCAAAGGGAAAGGCCAGGAGAAAGGAAAGGGAAGCAAGGCAAAAGCCCACCGGGAGGTGTGACCTACTACGACTATGTGGGGCAGAGCGGGTGGAGCCAGGGCTACCAACTCACTTGGTATGGGATCCAGCAGCGTGGATAGTTTTGGCGCTGGGGTGCAATGGGTTTGAGTGATCAATGGCCTTGAAGTGATACAGTAAGAGCTGGCAATGTATAATACCCACATAGATGACTCATGGTGAGAGGTCAAGAAGGTGTCCGATAATGTGTTTCGTTGGGGCATTTCCAGCGGACCCCCGGACACCATGGTTTGGTGCAATACTGTCTTTTTTTGTTGTCAGGAAGACGGGATATAAACAACTCGGTGTCTAGAAGAAGTGTCCGAAAGTGTGTCTGTTCCATGGGGGCGTCTCTATTTGGAACATTTGCGGTTGAATTCCGGACGCCATGGTTTAGAGCAAGACTGTCTCTGGTGAATGTGGTGTCTGAGAGTGTCAATTTTTCTGGGGCATTTCCGGTCGAATTCATGACACGATGGTTGAGTGCAATATTATGGCCTTTGAAAGTATCACGAACAGAGTATGCCTCCAACCAGTTGCAACCCAGTTGTATCTTGTTGTTGGGATCAGCGGCTTTACAACATCTGGATCAAATCTGTCAGGTTGGATTTGTAGAGAAGTTCCCCTCTTCCCAGGTGCTTCATTGCGAAGGAGTCTTTGGGTGGTCATGTGCAAGTGGGAACCACAGAGGTGTCATGGGTTTGGAGCACTCAATGGGTTTGAAGTGCTAACTACATTACGAGCTGTCAGTAGATTGCACCTATAAAGATGACTCACGGTGAGAGGTAAAGAGGGTGTCCGAGATTGTGCTATTTTGCGGCATTTCCAGTGGACTTCCGGACACCATGGTTTGGTGCGATACGCTTTTTTTTCTCAGTTACACTCGGAGCGGTGTGCAACTAGTACGTGCGAAACGAGTGTCCGGGGGCGTCTCTATGTAGAACATTTGCAGTTGAATTCCGGACGCCATGGTTTAGAGCAAGACTGTTTTTGGTGAATGTGGTATCTCAGAGTGTCATTTTCTCTGGGGCATTTCTTGTCGAATTCATGACACGATGGTTTCGTGCGATATTATGGCTCTTGAAATTATCACGAACAGAGTATGCCTCCAACCAGCCGGAACCCAGTTGTATCTTGTTGTCGGGATCAGAGGCTTCGCAACAGGTAGATCCAAGTCCGTAACCTTGGATTTGGAGTAGAGAATTTACCTCCTCCTCGAGGTGCTTCAATGTGAATGAACTTCACTGGTGTCCGAGAATGTTTTTTTTTGTGGCATTTCCAGTGCACTTCCGGACACCATGGTTCAATACAATACCCTCCTTTGTTTTTTAGTCAGGAAGAGAGTATGTACACAACCAGGTCTGATTGAGTTGCATTTTGAGCCTGCGATGAAAACCTTGGGAAGATCGGAATCCAAATCCCGAAGATTCGACTTGGACTTAGGGTTTCATTGTTTCATTCCAGGTGCTTCAGCTTGAAGGAGCTTCACTTGATTGATGGTGTGCCATTGGGAACCATAGAGGTGGGACGGCTTTGAAGTGATCAATGGCCTTGAAGTGTACAGGACGCTGGCAATATATAATACCCACGTAGACCACTTGTGACAGGTAAACAAGGCGTCGGAAAATGTCTTTGGGTCATCTCCAGTGGACTTCTGGACACCAGGTGCTTCATTGCGAAGGAGTCTTTGGGTGGTCATGTGCAAGTGGGAACCACAGAGGTGTCATGGGTTTGGAGCACTCAATGGGTTTGAAGTGCTAACTACATTACGAGCTGTCAGTAGATTGCACCTATAAAGATGACTCACGGTGAGAGGTAAAGAGGGTGTCCGAGATTGTGCTATTTTGCGGCATTTCCAGTGGACTTCCGGACACCATGGTTTGGTGCAATACGCTCGAGGTGTATGTTGAGTTTGAGATGAAAAGCATTCGAACATCGGAATCCAAATCCCGAAGATTCGATTTGGAGTTGGGGATTTATTGTTCCCTCCCAGGTGCTTCGGCTTGAAGGAACTTCACTTGGGTGGTCATGTGACATTGGGAATTTTCGAGGTGCAACGGCCTGATGGCCTTGAAGTGATATAGTATGAGCTGGCAATATATTATACCCACATAGACCACTCGTTGTGACAGGTAAACAAGGTGTCGGAAAATGTCTTGGGTCATTCCCAGCTGACCTCTGGACACCATGGTCTAATGCAACACTCTGTCGTTTTTTTTGTTTTTTTTAAACATGAAGGTTAAATTCTGCGCGCTGTGCAACTAGCACCTGCGAAATGAGTGTTGGTGGTGTTTTTATTTGGAACATTTGCAGTTGAATGCAGTTGAATTCCGGACGCCATGGTTTAGAGCAAGACTGTCTTTGGTGAATGTGGTGTCTGAGAGTGTCAGTGTTTCTGGAGCATTTCCTGTCGAGTTCATGACGCGATGGTTTAGTGTAATGTGATGGCTTTTGAAATGATCACGAACAGAGTATGCCTCTAACCAGTTGGAACCCATTTGTATGTTGTTGTTGGGATCAGAGGCTTTGCAACATTTAGATCCAAATCTGGCAGCTTCGATTTGGAGTAGAGAACTTACCTCTTCCTCCCAGGTGCTTCAATGTAAAGGAACTTGACTTGGGTGGTCATGTGCAAGCGGGAACCACAGAGGTGCAATGGGTTTGGCGTCATGAATGGCCTTGAAGTGATACAGTACGAGCTGTCAATAGACTACAGTTGTATAGAGTCTCACAGTGAGAGGTAAAGAAAGTGTCCGACATTGTGCTTTTTTTGCGGCATTTCCAGTGGACTTCCCGACACCATGCTTTAATCCAATACACTCTATGTTTTTTTTGAGCCAAGACAATTGGATGTAAGGAACCAGGTCCGATTGAGTTGTAGTTATTGTGCTTTTTTTGCGGCATTTCCAGTGGACTTCCCGACACCATGCTTTAATCCAATACACTCTATGTTTTTTTGAGCCAAGACAATTGGATGTAAGGAACCAGGTCCGATTGAGTTGTAGTTTGCGTTTGGGATGAAAGCTTTGCACATCATAATCCAAATCTCGAAGATTCGATTTGGAGGTGGGGATTTATTCTTCCTCCCAGGTGCTGCAATGTAAAGGAAATTCACTCGGGTGGTCATGTGCCATGCGGGACCACAGAGGTGCAATGGCTTTGGAGTCATCAATGGCCTTGAAGTGATACAGTCTGAGCTGTCAATAGATTACATTTATATAGCGTCTCACAGTGAGAGATAGAGAAGGTGTCCGACGTTGTTTTTTTTTTGGGGCATTTCCAGAGGATTTCCGGACACCATGGTTTGGCGCAATACCATCTCTGTTGTTTGTCTCAGGAAAAGAATATGTAAAGAAATGTAAAGAACCAGTTCTAACTCAGTTGTCTGTTGATGTTGGGATCAGAGTCTTTGAACATTGGCATCCACATGTCCAAGATTGACTTCCTCCTCCCAGGTGTTTCAATGTGAAGGACCTTCACCCGGGTGTCTACGTGCGGTTGAGAACCAACCGAGGTGCAATAGCCGTGGAGTGCCACAGTACCAGCAGGTGAATGATGACAAGATATTATAGCCACATCGCTGAGTCAGGGTGGTTGGTAAAGACGCGGAGTTTAAGTTTGAACGCGGATATGTACATATAGGGTCACAATTAGAGACGGTGTTTGAGGGTGCCTCTTGTTGGAGCATTTCCAGTCGAGTTTCGGACACCATGGTTTAGTGCAATATTCTGTCCTCTAAGATATCACAAAACTGCATGTATATAACCAGTTGGAACTCAGTTGGCTCTGCATCCAGACGTCTAAGCTTGGTGTGGCAGTGGGCAGTGCCGGTTCCAGCTGCCTCTAGGTGAAGTGAAGGAAACACTGTGTGTGTGCCAGTTTTTACTTGAGTGTGTTGGGGACGGACGATGGCAGTTGCTCTGGCGGAAAGACCAAAGTGCCACGGTGTTTTTTGTCACTGCTTTGCATTTAGAAGCAGCGGAATGTTGGTTTAAGTAGAGAAGGTGTCCGAAGGCACGGGGTTTGAGTTGTTCCAAGCTGGATTCGGAGCACGGCATTTGCCCCAGTAGGTGATGTGGGATGTTGTAGTCATCTTGCTGCACCAAAGGCGTGGATCTTCCGGGCAGGAGAAGATGTCATTCACATCTGTCATTCAAAGTTACATGCTTGATGCTGTGTCGTGTCAGAATGGGATCCTGGAGTCGAGTCCAACACCATTGCTCGTTGTGCTTGGGTAACATCTTGTTTGGCAGTCTGGTGAGAACTGAAATGGCAAGGACGATATGTGGAAGTTATGTAGAGTTGGATGGGACACAAGAGGGAAAGGAGAGCTGATCCAAAAAGAGAGATCATTTGTGCCGGTGTGGCATGCGATGATGGACTGTTGTTTGTACAGCGTTTCTTGCCGGGTGCAGACAGGCCCCAAGGTGAAAACGATCTCAGGGTGTGACAGCCATGCCAGCTCTCTCCCGATTTGCGAACCAGCAGACCGTTGTCGTTGTGGTGTTGGCGAAGAACGAGGAAACAACGTGGCGGCCTCCCACTGTGGTGTTGCGTTGTGCGACCGCCAATGGAGAGGAGTTCGAGCTGCATATGGTTGCCCAGGCATTGGGCCAGGGACAAAAGATGTCCATCGGAGCCTCCTTCAGCACCGTGGTGGACAGCGGTGGCATTAAGCCCTACCGTGCATCAGAGAGGCTGAGGGGATGGTATCTAGTGCGTGTCTTGGGAAACCAAACAAACAGAGTATTCATATACGGGGATGTTTGTAATTGAGTACTATAGGAAGGTAGGAGGAGGTGTGGTCTTAAAGAAGTGTCCGAATGTGGCCGATTCTTCAGCATTTTGAGTTGAATTCTGGACACCATCGTACTCAGATCTGTAAGCTGCACACGAGCTGCACGGTGTGTATTCCGGAAACCAGCAGTTGGGGACTCAGAGTTCCTAAGTCTCTAGGATGGAGGGGTTTCAAAATATATATTTTTTTTTAATGATTTATTTATGAATTGAATACGATTTCCATTTATGATTTTTTTATGGGTTCAAATTGTGGTTATGATTTTTTTATGGTTTGGATATGTTTTTTTTAATGGTTTTGGATATGATTTTTATGATTTTTTTTATGGTTTTTTTAGTCCTCAGAATCTGGTTTTCAGCTAAAAACTCGAGAAATTTTCTATTTTTTATGATTTTGCTAGAGTTTCCTTTTCCCCAAAGCCTTTTCAGCAGAAAATTTGATTTTGGAAGCAAAATCGTGAAAAAATCGTAAAAAAAACGTAAATGCATCCAAGGTCCCCCAGCTAAAAACTCGAGAAGTTTTCGATTTTTTTTTGATTTTTCTAGAGTTTCTCTGTAAAAATCAAATTTTCTGGTGGAAAAGACTTCAGGGAAGAAGAAATTCTACGAAAATCGTAAAAAAATCGTAAAAAAATCGAAAATTTCTCGAGTTTTTAGCTGAAAACTAGATTCTGGGGACCTTGGAAGCATTTACGATTTTTTACGTTTTTTTTTAAAACGATTTTTTACGATTTTCCTAGAGAAACTCTAGCAAAATCATTAAAAAAATCGAAAATTTCTCGAGTTTTTAGCTGAAAACCAGATTCTGGGGACCTTGGATGTTTTTTCGATTTTTTTTTTACGATTTTTGTACGATTTTGCTTCCAAAATCAAATTTTCTGCTGAAAAGGCTTTGGGGAAAAGGAAACTCTAGCAAAATCATTAAAACATAGAAAATTTCTCGAGTTTTTAGCTGGAAACAGATGTTAAAATACCCAACTACCATGTAAAAAAACCATATCAAAACCATACCAAAACCATTCTAAAAACACATCAGAGAAACCATAAATATAACAAAACACATCAAAAAACAGCAAAAACCAGTAAAAAATCAAAAAACATATTAAAAACCATAAAAAACAATAAGCACAACATAAAAAAATCATAAATCATCTTCCCATCATAAAAAAAAACCATAAAAAACCATAAAAAAAACATAAAAAACATAAAAACAACCATAAAGAAAACATAAAAAACCATTAAAAAATCAAAAACAAAATCATAAGTCATTTTCCCATCCATAAACAAATCATTAAAAACCGTATTCAAAACCATAAAAAAATCATAAGTCATTTTCTCAACCATAAAAAAAATCATATCTGCAAATCATAAAAAAATCATTAAAAAAACGTAAGAACATATTTGCCAAAAATGGCATCCTAAAGGATTTAGGAAGTCTGAAGTTGGGGGAACTGGCTGTGCAATCCACATTGAGAGAGTCCTTGACAATGAATGGGTGTGTATTCAGAATTTTGAAGACATTGCAGTTTGAGGGTCCAGGAAAGGATGGGGAATTGAAAGAGGGATCTAAGAGTGCAGTCCCTTGGTCAATACTTTGAACGGGACTGGCATTGTGGCTGCACCCTACATTCGAACGGCAGGGGAGGTGAAGCTGACCAAAACCATCACAGCTGTTCAGAATGTGGTGGGCATTGTTGTGTGCATGGGTGAGCTGGTGAAGACATCGAACCAGCTTCCGAAAAGGTTGGTGTCGCTCCAGTTTGCGGACTATGAGTTTGGAATTGAGTTTGTCGGGGCGATCGCCAGCTGTCCACCCAGGATTGGAGATGAGATTCTGGTGGTCCCGGTGAAGATGGTGTCAACATACCGTCGCTGGAGACATCAAGATTGAGCTATTGGAGGAAGTTGAAGACTATGACGGTCCCCAAGATGGAGGGTGAGGAGCGACCTTCCAAGGCCCTCAAGTGCGACATCCCTGAGGTCACAGTTGCAACACTTGACAGTGCTCCAGAGGGCACAGCCGTGTTTCTGGTGGGCAAGCTGCGTGCTGTCACACCCCAGGACGTGGTGGTGAATGTGATCTCATTCAGTGCCAACAGCATGAAGTTCGCGGCTGAGATTGAAGCGGACAATGCCCAAGCACGAGTCGATTGGTGGAGCAATGAGGCCGGCTTCAAGGAGCTGTTCGGTGAGGGCGTTCCCTGGACGGACTTGTGGGAGCGGTGTGAGACACAGGAGGGCCTCGTGCAGGGAAGGGGTTTCACGGGCAACTGAATGTGGAAAGGTGTTTTAGTTATATGTGAAAGGTCACAGGCTCAGACAGTTCAGGAACTTGGAGCATATCATGGCAGTTTGAGTCGGTTTGATAGTGTGGATTTGCTGCAGGCATTTGCTGCAAGGGCCTGGGCCTCATTGTCCGTCCACGTGAGTGGCAAGGTGTTCGGCAGTGGACAGTGCATGCCGCAAAGGTGGCGTGAATTTTCATCGTGCACTGCTACTGGAGTGCGGGCAGCGACGAAGCCTGTCCTGATTTTTCCCAACAGCATTTGAATGCACGCGAGTGGAATTCCAGGAATGGTAGCCACACAGCGATGCCGGGGAAATTCTCCAGACGAGCAACCCGGAAAAAAGGGGTGGAGCAGGAGCAAGTGTATCAGCAGCAGATTTCTCCGTCGAATGGGTCTTAGCCGGTTTCTGTCCTGGATGTCTCCATATCTCCTTGTGGTGATGCACACATTTGCTTTGTTAGGCGGCAGTTGGCCAAGTGGGCTGGTGAACCCAGAGAGGAGGGGTAAACGGAGAGCTGCATTCCACTGCTGCAGACAATGCAATTGACTTGCACAAGATATATGGCGATGTACTGTATCCCAACCTGGAAGATGTTTTGAGACGGGTCAAAACGTCGGTATCTCCATAGGTTTTCTGCGGGGTGGTGTTTCAAAGTAGGGGTGATACTCCCTGGGGTGATCCTCCCTGTGACTGAGTCCGTAGATTCCCTTCAGCGGCGTGTTGGTCACATTTTCTCTTGCTTGCCGGGAGGCGTGCCTGACTTTCATGAATTGATCAGGCTTTGCGCCCAAGGTTGAACAGTCCAAACAATGATTGCACTACTGCATTTATCCACCATAAGACAAATGCACATTGCTTTGCATTGATCTCCGCACAGTTTGAACAAATTAAAGTTTTCCTTACCAGACTTCTCATTCAGATCCATTGGCTGTTCAAGGCACGTTTTCGATCGATCCACACTCTTCATGGCTGTACAGTTTTCCCTGCCATGGTGCTTTGGAAGTATAATTGGAGTTGGAGTGGTAATGCTCCTGCGCTTCGACAGCACTATGCCTGGCGGGAGCCATGGCCATGCTGTGTGCAACTCGTCCGTAAATCGGCACAAAAGATCGCATCCGAGCCACTGCCGTTTTACCCTTGTGAAGTCACCTTGACATCCAACTCATCCTCACCATTTGCATCCGTAGGACTTTTCGAATTGTCGTTCACATTGATGACACTTGGGTCCAGTTGCGGGGGCGGACATCAGGCTCATTTTACCGGCGCTGCCAAGCAGCTACGGTAAACAGGGGGTGTTTTTTACGGGATACTAATGATGTATGTCCCATACCTCCCTGTAAAGTATAGCCTGTTGTCATTGTATAGTACTACAACTATGGCTCAAGAAAAACAAGCGTGTGCTTTGTGGCTGATTGTGGTTGCACAACTTTGACAAATATAACTTATACAGTATGGTTAGTTGATGATTGTTGGGATTTAGCCATCAATTACAAAGGATATTCCGTGGTTTCATGTGTTTATCATATATCAAAGATATGTAGTTAATGAATGACGGTTGAATGGTCGTAGCTGGTTGGTAGCCGTTGCCATGTTTGCAACCCATTGACCCCAGGCACAGCACATCGAAGAACTTGGACTGTCCAAAGCTAGGTTTATAAACGTTTGGAAGGTCTTTTATTTGGTGGTGCTTTGACATCGAAATAAACAAATGGAGAATAAATATGAATAAATGGATAGCTCCAGATAGAAATGGAAGCATCCGAACCCCCAAAAAAAAAAACAGGTCTGAAAGATGCCTGACATTTTGCCAGAATGTTTTTGTTTTGCCAAAGTTCTTTAGTGGTATGTTGGCTTCAGAGGCGGAAGGTGGGTCCTTCGGGATGATGTTGATGTCTGATGAAACCACCATTGGGACGATTGCTGCGGCAGTTTTCCCTAGATATATCAGTTTTATATCTTTGCTCTACAGATATTTAAAGTAAATCACACCCAAATTTGGTTTTAGATATTTTAGGCCCTTCCTTGATTTTATCCCTAAATCAGCTGACACGGCGAAACTCAGTTTTTTCCGCGTTGCCGCATGCAGGACCTGGCCCTCCCGGGCCAAGCGCTCCGACTGAAGCTGCTTGACATTTGAGTCCGGGGTCCTTTAATGTCCGAAATTAATGAATGCCTGTTTTTTTTTGCAATTTTCCTCGTTCTTGTCAGTGGGGCTCTAGGTTTCGCGGCAGTCCCCCATTTTGGTTTCTCCCCTCTTTAGATGCATTGGGAATTGTTCTTGAATCATGTATATTTGTATTTCATTGTATTATTGGCATGTTTGATTATATACCCCATTGTATTAGTATTGATTTTCACGCGAAGCTGTGACGTTGCATTGCATTGGGGGTCTGGCATCTTGTATCATCTTGTAGGAAACCTGTGTTTTTGGATACTTGTGGAACTTGTGGATGATAACAGCACATTTTGCCGTAGGTGTGTGTTTTACATTATGGTAATCACCAAAAAGATCAAAAAAATACAAAGACGTTGCTTCTTCCAGAGCTGGCGGCGCAATTCAAAGAAGTCCCAGGATGTGGCCACAGCAAGTCAGGAACTCAGAGACGAGGCTTCGGGCAGGCTGTCGTCCCTTGCTGCCTGGTTAAGAAGGGGGTTTCCCATGACGGATTGGTGATGATCCACAACATGTATACATACATATAATTACATATATATATATACCTGAAAAATATATGACCCCTAACCATCCCAAACCCTCAATCATCAAATTTTGATCATATCCCCCATCATCCACCGGCTTTCTCAACGGGCCCGGGCAGCTTCGGGCAGGCTGGCTGGAGCCCCTTGCACGTGGCAGCCTTCATGGGGCGGCAGGATGCAGTGAGCGTGGCGTGGGCGTCAGCGGTTTCGGGTGGTTTCGGTGGGTTTCGGAGGTGAAAAGATGGGAAGATGATGGAAAACATCGGATACCCTCTGGTAAACATACAAAAAGCTATTGAACATGGCCATTAATAGTGAGTTTTCCCATGAAAAATGGTGATTTTCCATAGTTATGTTAAATTACCAGAGGGTACCCCATTTAAAGTACGTATTTTTAGCACAGGTTTTCTGGGAAACTCTCAAGAACCATACCATCAAAAGTTTGGATTTTCTATAATTATATACATGTAATAAATGTGTAATAAATGAATCCTATCGAGCAATGATAGACCCTGAGAATAGCCGTTGTTGGACTTGCGTGATACTTGCGTGTTATGATTGTTGAATCATGAGTTTATAGTCCACCATGACACGATCTACTGAGGGATTCAGTTGAGTTTTAGTTTTGGTAATTATGTGTTTCCCCCTCCAAATCTATGTGCTTCTCCGGTAGCAGCTTGCTCGGATTCCACCAAACTCACCTGGTGAAACTGTGTTGGTCTAAGGTGCTGCTCCGCAATGGTGCCAATGCGCAAGGTCTAACCAACAAGGGGCAGCTGGCGGTGGAACTTTGCTCAGCTTCTTGGAGGATTAAATCTAGGAAAGTCAGAGGCCAATTTTGTTCAATGCTTAGTCTTGGAAAATTAAATTAAATCATGGAATTTCAATGAATTTCATCAATTTAGTAATTTATAGGAAAAATTATGCATTTTCTTGTGATGATTTTTTATGTTTGGATCCGTCTCTATGTCACTTTTGATATGTGTTGATCGTCTTGGAAGGGTGTAGCTCTTGGGCATATAGCCTAATATAACCATAACAAACATGCCATAACCCCTGCGGCCCCCAAAGTTGATGGTTTCTCATCCCCATAAAATGCCATTTGAGGATAACAAATGCTCCATGCCCCTGAGGATGTGGCAACGCGCCGTCTTCTGCAGAAAGAGATGCGGGAGATCCATTCGTTTCATGCCACCGACCGCATCGCAGGTGCGGATTTTCTGAACGGAGGGCTCGTGACATGTTGGTTATAAAGCCATCCAAGTATAGACTACTAAACTGTAGGCTATAGGAGTTAAACCATTACATTTAAACACGGGAGATATATCATATATAATCACACACACACACATATATATATATATACACCAGTATATACCATAAATTCCATCTATTGGAGTTTACCAACTTGGCAAATTCTGTAGCACCGCGTTGTGAAGAGCAATGTGTCACAGAACATCAAGGAGAGAGATACGTAACGATATCTTTAATTCCACCACCCAAACACTGGGAGAATGCAGTTCGACAATTTGCAGAGATATGAACCCCTATATGGATTGAACATGTTAGACAATCCAAAAAAAAACAATTGGCCCCAAATGTTTGGCCCCATAAAAATTGATATAAATTGCCAGTGTCGAGCCCCAGAAGATGGAGAAGTCATTCAGTTTTTCGGCCCTGAAAAATCTGAAAACAGGTGCCGAACTGCTGGAGGAGAGGTGAGGTCGCGGGTCGCTTGGGGATTGTCATAAGTTATAACATATATTATAACATACTGTCTGGGTAAATTACAACGACCTCACTGCGACCTCACTGGAATACTGGTTAGTAAGGGGAAGTATCCCAATATGGTTTTATTTCAGGTTAGTGAATTATTGTAATTTACCCAGATATTATAACATACTGTGGATGGAAGAAATCCTGCACCAGCTGGTAGATGGATGTAGATGGTTTATCTCTATTTACAGGGCTTCAACCATCCTGTTGGTGGTGCAGGATTTCTTAACCATCCACTGTATCATAACCCATATCAGGAATATTGAATATGTACTTCAAGTAACTGGGAACAGGATGGAACAGGAATATGAAATATGTGTACTATCATGTACTAATCAACCGGTATGGGATGGGACATGGGTATTTCTCTTCCGCTCTTGCGCCATGCTAGTCACCCTTAGCAGCTACGCATATGATGAGCAAACTGGCAAAAATCTAGGTGCTTAATTAGTATAATTACATCTATAAGGAAAGATAGGAAAGTGTCCAACCTTATAACAACATAATTCGAGATATGTACCAAGTCTAGCTGAGAAACGTTTCGAATACTTATTGTAGAGCATTGTAGAGGATCGCTAACATTTATTAGATCATATTCAAGTATTTTTGCCAAACATCAATTGGATCATATTTATCAAAGCGACCACGAAACCCGCTGCAGGGTTTCGCACATCCAAGTGGGCGAGAGCCTTGAAAGCCTGGCGCAGGGGCTGCAAGTCGAAGGTGGCAACGTGGGTCCGAAAGAAATGGCAACGGTAAACCATGGTAAACTGCTAAAAAGATGCAGAAGAGTAAACTGAGTAGAGAGAAAAATTAGAGTATATTAGAGTATCAATAGTATCAATTATCACTTTTTCACTAGGCTTTCACCCACTTTGAATATGAATTATCGGATGATCGCTTTTTCAGTAGGCTTTCACCCACTTTATTGGGGGGATGACCCAAAAACGCTGTACAGAACAAATGATCCATATTTACCCACCATATTTTTTTTTGGTGAGCATCCACAACCCAGGAGTAATTCATGAGTCATTTGGATTATTTCTGGCCATGCGAACAGTTCGGAATGTTCACCCCGCCTCGGGAAAGAAAAATGGAAGTTGATCCCCTCCTTAAGTGTTTTCGATCGAATGTGGAATCAGGTACCACCACCGGATCCATTCTTTAATATATTGAAAGGATGCAACGATACCAGAAAATGCTGGAAAGTGCCAATGTTGGCATGCCCACTCAGATTGGAATTGCATAGGAATGCAATTGGTCTGGGCCCATCATCATTGGATTACCATTGGCTTATCATCATTGGCTATGTTTTTTATTATTTATCCTATGGGATTCCAATGGTTTGTCATCATTTTCCTTATTACCCACTGGTTATTTAACAGTTTGCCATGGAAAATGGCCCATTTATAGGTGGTTTACCTATTAAAAATTGTGATTTTCCATGGCTATGTTAAACAACCAGATGGTAATATATTCAAGAGGGTCTAGACCAATTGCATTCCTATGCAATTCCAATCTGAGTGGGCATGCCAACATTGGCACTTTCAGCATTTTCTGGTATCGTTGCATCCTTTCAATTGGGCTGTGTCTTTAAAATAGGCTGCCCCAGAATCCAATTGTATTCCAATGGTATTCCATTGGTTTATCATCATGTTCCTTACGTGGCTATCATTGGGTGTATAAACAGCTTATCATCATTGGATTAACATTGGCTTATCATCATTGGCTATGTTTTTTTTATCCAATGGGATTCCAATGGTTTATCATAATTGTCCTTATTACCCACTGGTTTATTTATATAACAGTTTGCCATGGAAAATGACCCATTTATAGGTGGTTTACCTATAAAAAATGGTGGATCTTTCCATGGCCATCGCGCGATGTTTAGCTCGCTCTCGCGCTGCAGGTGGCTTTGCGAAATGTCTTCCGTCACCTTCCAGGGAGATTCGTGCCTCAGCTCCGGACATTCAGATCATTTCAGATCCCCCCCTCTAGTGGTTTAACGGCTTCTTATGGAAAATCACTATTTTTTTGTGGAAAATATGGAAAACCAACATTTTTGATGTTTGTTCATAGGTAAATCATCTATAAATGGGATGTTTCTTTTTCCATACAGTAGTTTTATGTTAAATTACCAGTGAATGCATTTACTGCTAGCGTGAGTGCTAGCATTGCTGTCAACCATGATGTCATCGAGCCACTGAACCCACATTAATTACCGCTGTCATCTCATTTTGCCAACGGTTGGCAGCCTCATTTCTGTTGATGACATCTCCATTCGTAGCAGGAACCTTCCCGACGTGGAGCAGCCCTTTTGGTGGATAAAACCAAGTCATGGAGAGAGAGAGAGAGAGAGAGCATTTCTTTCCTTTCGTTTGTCATCCATTTGCCATCCATCATTTGTCATCCCCTATTTGTTGTGGAAATTGCCATCTATTTGAAAAAAATGCTTCAACAATCCCCATGATATGAGAAACTCCACTAATTAATGTCTACATCTAATATCCCTTTCAAGCCATCGTAAAGAATATTGCCACATAGATCCTCTATTTGAACAGTTGGTTAAACATACCCATTTTGAAATGCCAAAGTTTAACCTGGGATTTATCCACTAATATCATCTAATATTCCATTATTATCCCATAATTATCTCGAACTTATTCCTATTTATCCATTATCCATCAATTATCCATGAAATATCCATCAATACTCCATTTTGACGAATCACACCCATCACCATCCAATCATTATCCCACGGACTATCCTGAAATTATCCAATATAATGACTGGGAATGGTTTAATTTATAGCACCTATAAAAATTATGATGACTGGGGGATGGTGCGTTTATGACATTGTTTTTACCCACATGGGACATGGGATTTTTCTCGTACATCCCTGTGCCTAGGCTTCGAGCCCTTCTTCGTCCCACGCGCGCCGTTGATTCCAGATGAAGATCTGGAGCTGGAGCAACTTAGCTCGGCAGGAGATAGATCTGGTGTAGATAGGGTTTATCCTCTGGTAAACTGTAACATAACTATTGAAAATCACAATCTTTAATGGGTAAATCCACTATTTCTATGGCCATGTTCAATAGCTATGTTAGTTTACCAGAGGGTAAATATATGTAAATATGCTTTAAATATGGTCTAATGAGCTTGAATATATTTGAATATGGTTTAACTCGGATTAATGTGATGATACTGCAATAGAGTTTAATATTGTTAATTAATGATGATGATAGTGAATATGGTTTAATAGGGATCGCTATTGAATAACGAAATCCCGTTTCTTATGGTTTATCATATTGTTTTCCATGATGTGTGATAATGGTAATGAAATATGGTTTGATATAGTGAATATGATTTGATATAGTGAATAATGTGGGAGACCCAATAATAAACAATCCCTAAAAGAACCATTTTGATGGGTGGGATTCCAACCATCGCCAAATGCTAGGTTTATCATGGGGTTTCCCACATGGTTTGACATTGATTGATAAATCCACCCTATTATATAGGAGGTTTTTTATGGTAATTTATGTTAGTTTAATATGGTTTAACAGGGATAATTGTGGGATCATAATATTAATAATACGGTTCAGACTTTGCTAGTGGATTTACCCTTCGCTAATCAAACATCGCGATTTCTGGGAAACCCCCGATCCAAATGGAGGTTTCCAGCTGGGGAAATCTAAATTTCCAGCAATCCATGTTGATTACCAGAAGGATCCAGAAGGTATCAAAATTGATCAGCTCTGATACGTGTTTGTATGTTAAGTATTGTTGAGTTCTTTTCTGTTGATTTTCGGCCGGTTTGCAACTTCCATGGTCCATGCCTCTACCAGCAAGTCCATCAGCTAAGGCTGGTGGAAGTTTGTGCATATTTGGGCTGCCAAATCTTTGAGGTTCAGCCGGGTCGAGGCTTAGCCTCTTGGATGCAGCTGGATGGGCTTAGGTCATTCTGCGGCCAAAGCTGAAACAAGAGTACCAATTTCTCACTGGATCTGGCCAATTTTGACTTCCAGCTCCCACTCTTCAGTTCCAAAAAAAAAACAAAAAAAATATCCAAAACATTTTTCAACCCAGCCCACCAGCCGGGTCCCGGTCACCCCCAGGCCTTCCTGGTGGTCTCGGGCTGCGTGCGCGACTATCCCATCGATTTGGTGAACTTCATCCGCAGCGCGCGGCTGAACCCGCTGCAGGTGGCCGCCTTCCTCGGGGAGGACTTCCCGATGACTCCACGACGCATAGCACCACGACCCCACAACATATCCACAAAAAAGAACACAAGGAACACAACAAACAACAAAGCAAAAACCATTTATAACTTATAATCCACTTGATATCGTGCAAGATGTCGAAGAAAGATTCTGTAATCATGAGTACTCATATACAAGCTGTTTATCTATCATGAGATGTCTCATGTCTTCTTATCTGTTCGATTCTATCTCTAAGAGAGCTTAGAAGTTGGGATCAAGTTTGAATCTCCAGACATTTCGGGGAGGATGCCCTGGATTCTTTATTTAGCACGTGGTGTTCCCTTCAGTGCCGTACAACACGCAGGACTTTTCCTTGGCCAAGATCTTGCGCATGGAGTTCCTCAACGCAGTGCCTTGGTCGTTGCTGAAGTTGGCGATTTTCCATGGCTGAATCCACCGCTAAATCTACTAGGGAATCCACCGATGGTGGAACATCGTGGAATCTGGACCTCACTGCGACCTCACTGGAATCATAGTTAATAAGGGAAATCATCCCCAAATGGGCCGCAAGATTCAGGTTAGTGAAATATTATGATTTACCCAGATATATGATATATATATACCATCTGGTTATTTAACATAGCCATGGAAAATCACCATTTTTAATAGGTAAACCATGTATAAACGGGCCACTTTCCATGGCTATGTTAAACAACCAGAGGGTATATGATAATTAATTAAGCTGTTTGTGAGAAGCGGTTCGGAGCCAGTGGCTATCCATCTTCCGAACGATGGGGAGCTGCCAAGGAGCTACCCACTGTGACCGCGCAACCGCAAATCCAAGGGATGCTACGGAAAATCATCATTTTTATCCATGGTTAATAGATGTTAAAGTAGAAAATACTCGAATAACCCCTATGCCGTGTATGCATGTTCATACCACATAGTGGTCCCAAAACGGAGCCCACTATATTGTTGTTGCCTTTGACTGTAAAGTGTACATAATGTCAGGGTTTTTACAACGGGAATAGACTATTCAAATAGTTATCAACAATGATAACTCATTTCCTTAATCCTGTAATCCGGGGTTTTGGTCACCAAACCATTTACTTGGCCAACAACGTTTGGCTCAAGGTGCCCGCTAAAACAGGTGTTGTTGCTTAGTGTCACTGGCCATTGTTACATCTGTTGACTACTGCATCTTGAATACACGTGAATATTACTTCTGGTACAATCCCCGCATTCACTGGATTTACTGGAATTTTGTGGTTATCAGCCGTAGCCCGGCTTATTTCTGCAGTTGTGAGATCAATTGGGAGCTATTGAAAGACTGAACATATCGGCAAGAAATCTAAGACTTCAATTGCATAGATCACTGAATTGTTCTTTCATTGGCACCTTCAATCTTTCACTCGCGCTTGCGCGACAATTTTCCCATCCTTCGCCGCCATTGGCGCGACTGCATGTCTGATCATAGACGTGACCGTTCCCGATCAAGAGTTCGAACTCGTGGCAGACGAGGGGGCAACCCGTGGAGGTCCAGCCAATTGAACAGGTACAACCGCGGTGTGTCTTCAGCAATCGATTTTGCTAGAGCAGAGGAACTTGGTCGGGCACCTCCGGAGCCACCTCAGCCACCACCACCGGCACCGGGTGCTAGGGGTGAGTGGAGGTGGGTTTGGGTCCCAGAGCAGGCTGACGTGAGGGACAGGCCTGCTGGTGATCCTGAGCCAACTTCGGCGTCTCGTCCTCGGTTGACATCTTCTTCAGTGGCACCAGTGCCAAGGCGTTCTGATCGATCTTCGGCGGAAACTCCGACAGGGGTGGAAGGCAGGAGCTCACGGGACTCGGCTGGTGTTGTGGAGGGACGTTCATCCAATCGGGCAGCAACATCACCTCGCGCAGAGCGCGAAAGGGAAGTTCCATCTCATCCAGCAACATCACCTCGCGCAGCGCGCGAAAGCGGCGATCCATCTCGATTGGTGACAACATCAACTCGCGCAGTGCGCGAAGGTGGAGATCGACCTCGACCGGCGGAAGCATCAGCTCGCGCTGTGCGCGAAGATCGAACTCGGCCGGCGGAGACATCAGCTCGCGCTGAGCGCGAAAGAGAGGTGAGGACATCTGGAACAGCTCGCGCAGAGCGCGATACAGCCTCAGCATCGACTCTAGTGACCACAAGGAGGACCATTCGAGTTCCGGCCAGGACATCATCGACGGCAGGGACCAGTGAAGTTTCTCGCACCGGGTCAAGGGGATCGTTGAGGCCCGCGGAGCCTAAGGCTGCTCCAAAGGCAACAGTGGTGGCCAAGGCAAAGGCCGAACCTCGTTCATCTCCAGATTCATCGGTGGCATCTACTCGCCCAGGAACTTCGGTTGAGCGACCGCTCATAGTTCTTGATTGGCATCGGACGCTGTCCTTTGAGCCTCAGAGTGGTGGATCCTACGTGCCCGAGAGGGTGAAGCAGACGCTTCGACGAGCTCAGTCATTGGGCTACGATCTTGGCATTTGCTCCTTCGCATCGGCGCCAGCCACTCAGTCCAGGGTGCTTCGTGAGGCATGTGATCTTGAGACTGAGTTGACACGAGCTTTCAGGTTCATCCACGTGGTCAACCGGAAGTTCACTTCGGATCCTGCCCGTGACAGGCCATCGCTCACGGGCTGTGCCACATCTAAGGCAGAAGAAGTCTGCCGTGTGGGGGCGGCCATTTTTGTGGACGACCAGCGCTCCCTCCTGCAGGAGGTGGAGCAACTTCAGGCTCGTCGAGCCGCTGGCAACAGGTGTCGGGTGTTGATCTCGCACGCCAATCGGCCATCGGCAGCTCTTGAGGAGCTCGACGATCTACTGGAGGAGGAGTCGGCTGCAGATTTCGGGTTGCCCAGCTTCTTGCGAAGCCTCTGGTGAAGGAGTGCAGGACATCTTGAGGAGTTGTTCATTGACTCATTTCTCAGCGGCGCAAGCGCAAGAGCAAGAGCAAGAGCAAGAACGAGGTTTCACTGCAATTGTTGCCAAGGAGTTTCACCGCAATTTTTGCTTGTTTCAAGTTTCACTGCAACATAGTTTCACCGCAACAGGTTGTTTCACTGCAAGCTTGGTGTTCGGCATTTTGCCCTCCTTCTCGCGCTTGCGCGATTTGTTGGAGAAGTTTGCACTGCCAGTTTTGCTCGCTGCCATCTGGCGCAATTTTGCATAGCTGATTGGCATTGACAAGTTCCCTGAATTTGAGTTTCCGTGCCAAAACATGAAGAGGGAGGTGCCGGCGACCCCATTCAAAGTGGACGGACCCAACAGTACATGGACTTCATCGACTGACTCCCCAGAGAAACTTGCAGAACAGCAATCTCAGCAAGCTGCAATGATGCACATTAGTGACCAACCTGCCAACCCGACTCAGGAGGCGATATCTTTGGCGAACAGGCTGAAGAGAGGACAGGGGTCAGCTGCGGCATCTGGTGGTTCAGCTCAATGGGGTGGAAGTTCAGCTTCGGGTCAACACGGTGTTCCCCCTAGTCTTCATCAGCACAATACCATCCAACAACATATGTATCAACAACAGGTCAACCAGATAGACCCTACACAGTTGGAACAATTGTTGGAATCACTGGTAAACGCAAAGGCAGAGGCAAACTATCAGCAACTCCGACAGCAAGCGCAACAAGAAGTTGAAAGCATCAGGCAACAGGCAGGAAACAATCACCAAATGTTGCAAGATCAGGTGTACCAAAAGTTGCAACAACTCAACCAAGAGAAACAGATGCTTGAGATGAGAGAGAGACAAACTCATCAACAGGCACAACAACGTTTTGAACAACTTCAACAAGAAGCCGTCAACCAGATTAAGAAGTTGTCCGAAGACAACATGAGGCTACAGGCAGAACTTGAGGATAGCCGCAAGTCGGCTGAGGGCCAAGTGAACTTCGTGAAGTTGCAGGCCGAATCTGAAAGACAGAGGGCCGTGGCGGAGCTCAAGGAACTTAGCTCCAAATTGGAGGTGATCATGACCCATCCTGAACGGGTAGGATCGACATCTGGGACGATGATGGGGTCACCTATTGGGAATCCTTTTGAGCATCTACCCCAAGCTTACCAATCAGCCCAGCCAACTGAAATCATGTCAGCAGGTGCTAGTATTGCTAGTGCCAATCCTCTGGAAGTGATGTACTGTACATGCTGTGGATCACAGAATGTCATTGGACGACCGTCATGTTGGAGATGTTCAACATTACTGAGCACATTGACAGCCAAGAATGGCGCGGATTTGAATAGAATTCAGGATCATGGTTTTGACCCAGCACCATGTCCGCCTCCAAGTTTGGCACCATCCAGCTTCCGAGCATTGCAAGGTGTGGCAGCTAGCAGCGCGTCTATCGCAGCTGCGGCCGCGGCACCTATGGCGATCTCATCGAGGTTTCCTGGAGGATGCGCGTCAAATGTCGCGCAGAGTGGGAACTTAGCTTCAGGGGGGCTGATGGCTCAGACTGGTTGTGGTCTTGGGGTTGGATCAAATGGTGGTACAACAAATCAATGGGGTGGTTTTGACCCGAATGGCCCCAGAATCCAAGCCGGGTACATTGTACCAGGTAGAGGACAACAAGGTGAGAAACCGAAACCTGCTGGACTTCAGGGCTCACAACATGGTGGGATTCCATCCTTTTCCATTCACACACCCAAGAACAGTTCACCAACAAATGGTTCGTCATTATCATCGAAGGACTCAAATGAGGATGGTTTTAATCAGGCTCCCAAAGATGGTTGGTTGTTGCCAGATGAAACTGATGAAAGTGTTTACAAGCACAAGCACCTCAAGTCCATTCAGATTACCAAGCTTCCCAACGACGCGACTTCGTGTCGCGAGTGGCGTGCGGCATTCTTGGCCGCAGTCAGCAGGGTTGACATGACGAACCGGGATGTGCTAGTGAAGTTTGCCACATGGTGCATGGAAGGTGGTCGAGGTAGACGGTTCCGAGATTATCTTCAGAGTTCGAATGACTTTTTGTTATTCAATAAACATGTGGCGGCCGAGCTGATTAAACCAGAGGTGTTGGCCACAAACTCAGAGCTAGCGCACGAACTCACGTCGTGGGTGGAATCATGTTCAGCGAAACAGCAGGGACCCAAAGGCATGGCTCTCATGCACATCATTATTGCCTTTTACGAAACAGGTCCGGACCAATCCATCGCTTTGAACCAAATGCATCTCTTACAGCTCCAATTGCAGGGAAAGACTGCGAAGGATCTTGCAGAGTTTGTGAAACGTGGCAATTACATCTTGCATGGCTTGCGCCCAGGAGACCGCCCTGCAGAGGCGACACTCTACAGCTGGCTTTGGCATCAGGTGAAAGCCGTTCCGATGCTGAGGAGGTGCACTGACAAAATCAGAGAGTCCTCAAATGGATCCCGTAGGAGA